TCTCAGGCAGATGCACTATACAGTGTTAAAGGAAATACCTCATCTCTCAGACAGATACACTACACAGTGTTGAAGGAAATACCTCATCTCTCAGACAGATGCACTATACAGTGTTAAAGGAAATACCTCATCTCTCAGGCAGATGCACTATACAGTGTTAAAGGAAATACCTCATCTCTCAGGCAGATGCACTATACAGTGTTAAAGGAAATACCTCATCTCTCAGGCAGATGCACTACACAGTGTTAAAGGAAATACCTCATCTCTCAGGCAGATGCACTACACAGTGTTGAAGGAAATACCTCACCTCTCAGGCAGATGCACTATACAGTGTTAAAGGAAATACCTCATCTCTCAGGCAGATGCACTATACAGTGTTGAAGGAAATACCTCATCTCTCAGACAGATACACTATACAGTGTTAAAGGAAATACCTCATCTCTCAGGCAGATACACTACACAGTGTTAAAGGAAACACTCCTAATTAGTTGACTTTTATGAAATGCTCGTTTTGTGGTAGTGGCTCTATTATTTGCCTCCTCCCCCCTCCACAATGAGGATGCTGGAACCCATAAGGGGAGGTGTTAAACTGATATGTTTGACTCTTCTTTAGCTGAGGGCTGAGGACATGGTGGGACAGGTGAACGATGTTTGGGGATTAGGATGTCTCTTGTATGAAATAGTTACCGGAAAACCAGTCTGGCATGAGCATCGACATCTTCTTGATGAGGATTTGCATGTGTTGGTATGTCTTTTCGAATTTATAACCAATGGTGATTTAAATAAATCTATAGCTTTACAATTTTAGGTTATAAAAGATTTATGAGTGTTGATGAGTACACCATAAGGCAATCCCAGTCAGCACAAAGAAACATCTCATGCAAAGCATATTCATTCTCATCCTACGCTGTCAGTTCCAGACATAGTCACTGACAGCAAAACTTAAAAGAAAATTAGTAACCATGAAAGAGGTGTATAAGGAAGACTGTAGGAGTGACCAGAAGAGATAAAATCGGGAATGAGGTCATATGAGATAAAGTCAGCACAGAACCATTAACTAAATAAATACAAAGACACAAATCAAATGGTTTGCCGTCTTTGAAAGAATGCCTTCTGATGCTATACAAGGCATATACCAAAAGAGGACAGGGACGTATAGCAAAAGGTACACCAAGAACAATATGGGAGGATAACAACAGAGAAACTCTACAACAGCCAGAAGAGCATGGAGCAGGACTTTATGTCTTCCTCGCCACCTGAAGCGGTAAAAGGGGATGTAAAGAAAATATGAACATAAAATTGTAGTTGCTATTTTAGTGCTGCAGTGTTGACAGCTCTGTTGTGTTTATGAATTTACTGATTATTGTAGAAAATCAGGGGTACATAGAGGCAGCCGACTGTATAAACAAATTTACATAAAGACCTCTAAAGACTTCATCATATTTGGTTTGGTATTGCAGTTCTCCATTTGATGAGGTATCTCTCTCATACCAGTCGTCATTGGTCGCCTCTAAAGATAATCATGATTGATTACAGTGTAACGTTTAGTGGATCTCATGGCGAGTAAAGAAATATATAAAATTAAACAGAGAAACACAAGCGGAGCAAATATGGAATGATAATGAATCCTCAAGGCCTGCCTAGGAGTTACAACATTTGATGATCAATGAATAAAAACTGTATTGTACTGGCGGCATTTCCCCATGTGTTGAGTTGAGTTGAGTTGATTCAAGAAGTAATGTCACAGCACTTAGGGCATTCCCATAAGTGCTCTGTCTCCATCTTCAGCAGCCAGCGCAGAGTTCCAAAACCAATGGCATCCGTAACAGTCTGATTATATGTGCGTCTTGCCTGTCCTCTGAGCATTGACTATCAGCCACATCCCCTCGTCACTGCTGGCTTCATCATTCTCACTAGACTGTTGAATCCCATTCTTCAGTGGTCATTGAACATTTTCCATGCTGATAGTCCCACTGGCATATTGAAGTCCACAGATTTTACTTTGCACACTAAATTTTGTGTACTTCCTCTGCTTTTTTTTTTAAATTTCTCCCCTACTCACTGCTTATTCAGTGTTGCTGCGTATGTATGCTCTTTTCCACTATTCTGTACCCTTGACCTAAAAAAGATGTCACCATGCTGGCTTTATCATAAAGTGGAGCCCGGCACGCTAGCTCTGTTAGTTAAACCTGACTGCCTCTCGACCCGGTGACGAACTCCTTGTGAGAGTTCACGTCTAGGGGTAGACAGAAAAGCCACATATCTCCCATATTAGTTGGTTTTTGTTTAAGCATCCTCTCAAGTCCATTACTCATATAAAATGTTGAAAAATTGAAAAATTTTCCAACATCTATCAAAATACTAGAGAGTGAATTAAACTGCTTGCATAAATTAATGAGTTGAATAAACAGCATTTTGACAGTTCCAAAAACAAATACTGTTTTGTTTCAGGTCCTGGCTACTTTTTGTTTAATTTATTTTCAGCTGGGGAAAGACCCAATACCTGCAATGCCCAGTACTTATTCAGAACTTCTGCCTCTGTTTGGCACATGCTGGGAGGTATGATGACAAGTCTGTCCATTTGTTACTTTCATTTCCCATTGTCGGTTCCTGAACACCAGCCCAACCTGTAGATGCTATAAAACAGTGGTTTTCAACCTGCGGTTCGCAACTCTTTTTGTGTGTGGGTTGAATAACCTTTTTACGTGGGTTGCCTAAGACCATAGGAAAACTCATATTTATTGAAGTTGTGAAGGAAAATAATTGTCTGGGGGTCGTCACAACATGAAAAAACTGTATTAAAGGGTCACGGCATAAGAAAGGTTGAGAGCCACTGCTGTAAAACACCCCGGCTGTACAGGGATCGCACTTTGTGCTGAGGGACTTAGTTCTAGGGCTGGGGTGTCTGTCATAGGCACAGTTGTCGACTCTGGTGCTGCTGTTTAGGATGGTGGTGGGAAAATAGTCCCACTGTCCCTTAACAAGCCTGTCTTAAAATGGAACTACTTCTTCTTCGGCTATCCTCCGAATAACGGTCCTAAATTATCGAGGCGGAAAATATACCCTAACAGGGCCTCAGTCACGTGTCAATTGCGCACTTCCAAGGACTATAACACCACCGGCGAATTAAGAACTTCCACCACTCGCGGGGTGGATTGGGGCTAAACTAGATGGCTAGGACTCACGAGCAAATAAAAAAAAGAAAGCTGAAGGAGATGCGGTAGCTGCTGCTTGTGAATCCCAGCCATCTAGTTTAGCCCCAATCCACGCCGCGTGGGGGATACCCTCGGCGGTGGTGGAAGTCGCCGGAAGCGCGCAATTTTTTTTCCTACTATTACGTAAAGTATATAACTTTTTGACTGTAACATTGACGTCATATGTCGAAATGCTTATAAAGAAATTCAGTTAATCAGGTGCCATCTCCACAGGGAAGGTTGGCTATTGATTTTCAACACTCTGTGTCTCTTTTCTTGGTTGTACACTTTTTCAGACTGCTGTCTGTCTATATTTTAATGTTATACTCCCGCCTGTATCGATGTTTGCCTCTTATCTTCAACTTTTCCATTCTGTACATTTTTAAGGTGTTGTGTCTTCAACTGTAGCCTCTTTTTTGTCCTAGTCTTCCCCAAAATTTCTATATTTGATTATTGTTTCCATGAAATATGATGTATTCTTCTGAATACCCACATCTCCAGAGACTTATTTTGATTTTATAGTTGCTTGTTCTTTGTCCAGGTTTCGACATCAGAAAGATGGTAGAGATGCATAATAACCCATATCAGATTCAAATGATCATAATTTTGTTGGTCACTTATGAGAAGAGAGAGTTTGGAGAACAGGATAACCTTTGTAGTTAGTATCTGACATTAATAGAATCATGTTGTTAGATAGATTGTTGAAGGTATTCTTCGATTTTATTCACTTTTTTTTTTTTTGCAGACTGATTGGACCAAACGTAAAACAGTGGCAGATCTGGAGCTACTTTTGGCTGAAGTCTATGTGTGATTATTTTCTGTGGTATCTGTATGTGATTCTAATTATGTTTTTTTAATAAAATATAAAAGTTTCAGTTGAGAATCCCAGATATTTTCATCATCATCATCATCATTACACATTATCTGCACATTATTATTATAGTGTTAGTTGGTTTTTTAGAAAACATCCAAAGAAATCCCTTGGTAAAACTCAGAACATGATTTTGTTCCCAGGATATTCAGGTATCCACGGTAATGAGCAGGGTGATAGACTGGCTGACTGGCTATTGCTGCTCCTCTGGTTGGTGAGCTTATCATCACTTTCAAGTGCCATGCTGGTAAGCTTAGGCTTGTCATGTTTCACCATCTCACACGATCACCAGAATCACCGATCAGTTCAATGTTTTAGTCTCGACCCATCCATAAGGTCGGGCCATCCAGGTATTTATCTCTTTGCCACCATTTTGCTTTCTTTCGCAGGTCAACCCAGCCTAAAATGGGTACCAGTATGTATGTCCAGGGGAAGTAAAGACGGCCCGCGTAATGCTGACCACATTACCCACCTAGTGCCGCAAGGTCTGTAAAAATATGGATGCTTTTTCCATATGCCTTATGCGATAAAAGGCGTGAAAAGGGATCTTTACTTTTACTTTTTTAAAATTAGCTGAACACATAGCGGAAGCAGCAAGTGATGAAACCAGATTTCTTTAGGATGAGCTAGCCATAAATAAAATGTAGACCACTACATTGGGTGATGGCTGGAGATGGTCAATCACATACTAGTCCTTGCATTAATATTTATGTTTAACAAATAAAAAGGGCTACAAATAAATAGATGTAATTTACAGGAAAATCTTTACATAACATGTATTCAGATGACCTGATTTTAGCAATCAAACAATTGGGACACTTATTTATTATCATCAAGTGTCTTGTCTTCTGATATTGGTTGTCTCCAGATTTGGGAATCTCCAAAAAGAATCTGTCAATTCATGCATGGACACCTTTCCTTGTTAAGCAAAAAGCTAACATAGGATCTTAGCTTGCTGTCTTCTTCTTTCTCTCTTCCATTTAAACTTCCCAGTTATCAATTATCAAACCAGTAGTATAATAGAAATACAGGCTTTTGAGCTGAAAAAAGTTTCTCAGAATACCATGGAGCAAGAAGAAAGGAAATGTTGACCTCCTAAAAGATCTGAACATCAAGGAAGATTGGCACATAAGCAAACATCTCATCTCAGAAATTGAAATATTTTGGCTACATCAAAAGCCATGGTGGTTTAGAAAGAACAGTAGTGGAAGTGGAGAGCTTGGTACTGGGAAAGAGAGGCAGGGATGAGCAGCATGAAGATGGGCACTGGATGTGAAAGACACCTTGAATAGGAAAGTACATAAGTGGGAAAGCTGGTGAGAGACCAAGTTCTTAAAAGTGGCCTATGATGAGAAGGAAATTCGGTAAGAGACCTGCTACATGATGTATCCTGCTCAATCCTTCTGAGTTATAATCAGGTTATGTAGAGCTGTTATTATTTCTGGTGTTCAGTATTTATATTTGCCTAATACTTTTGGCTGTTCAATATTTATATGGATTGTTTTCATTGTATGCAATTATAAAATACAAAGAATATAATCCATTTTAGGTTGGAATGAACCTTGGTTTGCACCGGCTTTACTCGTCATGCACCTTGACTCACTGCATATTGGCTTTCGCCACGGCTCACTCTCTGGATGTTTACTGCTACAAAACTTGCACGGCTTTAACGTCTAGGGTTGACAACACAAACGCCACTCGGCTCCTTTGTACATTCTGTCAGTTTATTCTGGTCCATTTATCTCACATGTTCAAACATTATTTACACTTCTATCACTCGCGACATATTCGAACACTAACCATTTGCGCAACATAAAAACTACATCTTCAATTACTACAACCGTCTTCCCTGACTTCTGATGATCGACTGACCACGAGGCTAGCTCCGGCTTCCCCTCACTTACTCCACCGGCCACAAGTATCTCGTGCCGTCACTTGTAGCACGGACTTCCTGCTTGCCACAATGTACTCGTGGAGACCATGCAAAGCAGGGTCATCACATAGGTGTGTTTTACAAGTCCTATTGTGTTGTCTATCTTTAGGAATATTTAAAGTGATCTGGATTATGATTATGCTTTTGCAATATTAATACCTTATACATAAATGTGTTATATTGTAGTGTACTTTTTAATTTCTCCTTTCCCCCCTGTAAATATCAAACCACATAACTGCAATAAACCACTACTAACAACACAAGAAGCATTGTTATTTATGAATGTGTGTTCTTAGTCTCAGTTTGTTAATACAGTCAATAAAGTGGTTTGCTCACTTTGAGAGAGTGCTTAGAAACGCTATACCATACAAGGCATACACCAAAAGAGGAGAGTGACGTTGAGCACCAGGTAGACTAAGAAAGACCTGGAAAGATAACATCAGGAAAATTTTACAACAGCACAATGTGTCTATGGTCGAGGCGGCTAAATGCAGAACCATATGTATATCTCAACACCTGAAGCAGTAAAAGAGGAAGTGAAGCAGAAGAAGAATCTAACTTTGCTATTATCTTACTGCGAGAGCTCCAATGGTTAGCATGCCTATCAGTCTGGCAGTATTATTATTATGTTTAATCCCCATCAAGACAGGTAATTTAAAAACAATAATATTAATGATATAGGCATCCAGACTGACTCAGCCAAAAAATATTTTGTCCATATGCTGGTTTGTGCTGCAAGGCATCACAAGTTAACAGACTATAACCGAACCAGGTTATGCTGGTTTGTGCTGCAAGGCATCACAAGTTAACAGACTATAACCGAACCAGGGTATGCTGGTTTGTGCTGCAAGGCATCACAAGTTAACAGACTATAACCGAACCAGGGTATGCTGGTTTGTGCTGCAAGGCATCACAAGTTAACAGACTATAACCGAACCAGGGTATGCTGGTTTGTGCTGCAAGGCATCACAAGTTAACAGACTATAACCGAACCAGGGTATGCTGGTTTGTGCTGCAAGGCATCACAAGTTAACAGACTATAACCGAACCAGGGTATGCTGGTTTGTGCTGCAAGGCATCACAAGTTAACAGACTATAACCGAACCAGGGTATGCTGGTTTGTGCTGCAAGGCATCACAAGTTAACAGACTATAACCGAATCAGGGTATGCTGGTTTGTGCTGCAAGGCATCACAAGTTAACAGACTATAACCGAATCAGGGTATGCTGGTTTGTGCTGCAAGGCATCACAAGTTAACAGACTATAACCGAATCAGGGTATGCTGGTTTGTGCTGCAAGGCATCACAAGTTAACAGACTATAACCGAATCAGGGTATGCTGGTTTGTGCTGCAAGGCATCACAAGTTAACAGACTATAACCGAATCAGGGTATGCTGGTTTGTGCTGCTATGCATCACAAGTTAACAGACTATAACCGAATCAGGGTATGCTGGTTTGTGCTGCAAGGCATCACAAGTTAACAGACTATAACCGAATCAGGGTATGCTGGTTTGTGCTGCAAGGCATCACAAGTTAACAGACTATAACCGAACCAGGGTATGCTGGTTTGTGCTGCAAGGCATCACAAGTTAACAGACTATAACCGAACCAGGGTATGCTGGTTTGTGCTGCAAGGCATCACAAGTTAACAGACTATAACCGAATCAGGGTATGCTGGTTTGTGCTGCAAGGCATCACAAGTTAACAGACTATAACCGAATCAGGGTATGCTGGTTTGTGCTGCAAGGCATCACAAGTTAACAGACTATAACCGAATCAGGGTATGCTGGTTTGTGCTGCAAGGCATCACAAGTTAACAGACTATAACCGAATCAGGGTATGCTGGTTTGTGCTGCAAGGCATCACAAGTTAACAGACTATAACCGAATCAGGGTATGCTGGTTTGTGCTGCAAGGCATCACAAGTTAACAGACTATAACCGAACCAGGGTATGCTGGTTTTTCCTGTATGCTGTGATGTTGTGGAATCTTGGGGTATTAGTGACTCCTTAGTTAATCCATCTGCTTCTTGGTCATATACTACCCCTTGGCCTTTTTACTTTTATGTTGTACACTTTCATTGCTGGTACCACTGGATTCATTCTCATTAAATGGCCAAACACTTTCAGTCTTTTTTTTTTTATTAATTTAATTACATGTGTTCCAGTAGTTCTTGTAATGTCTCACGTGTCGACACTTAAAGTTTTGTTCACAGCCTTTCTCAAACAATACATCTAATTTCACAGGTAATCATTTTACTTTGGTGTCTGACACTGACAGCACAGTTAGTAAGATTTGCTGTAGGCAACCATCAGTCCCTGGAAAACATAGAGTTGCCATCCACTTCTGGGCTTCAGTCTTGTTCCAGAACCTGTGTTTTATTTCGTCGGGAGTGATAGCGGATTCAGCCAACCTATCAGATTTTTTATTTCCATCGACGCCTGCTTTTTCCGGAACAAAGATAAAAGTTACTCCACAAACAGTAGGCTTCTGTAATGATTCAAGGTATTGTCTTCGCACCGAACCTGCCTGAACCCCCCACAACCACCCCCCCCCCCCCCCCCCCCGGATCATACTCATTGAATCACTGAGTATACATATGTGGGTGTAGTTTTGTGTTTCGAGCCTGGCAAACGCTTGCGTCACTGCCATCACCTCCATTGTCATGATGCTGGTTGTCATAAAGAAGGCGCCGATGGCTTTTTTTTTACTTTTCTGCCTGCGTGCTGTGAATGCCCATGCGCCTCTTTTTTTGGCGTGTAACTGATCCGTCCGTGTAGATTAGTGAATCTGCTTCGTCTGAATTTTCACTGATGAGAGCGTTGACCTCTGCGTTAACAACCACAGGATTCTATTCTCTACATCGCTTGTTGAGTGTTGCGATACAGAAAAATGTGCAAATAAACGCATGAGGCACAGGTATCCACTCTGCACCAGGGGTGATGTCGGTTAGACTGCATATTTGCCTAATAATATCTTTCTAGCCATGATTTTCCCTTCAGTCTGTC